TAAGTTCCTGCATAGAAGCTGTTGGAGAAGCTGTAGGGGCGCATGTTGGCTTGTAGCAGAAGTTAAGGTTTGCAGAAACAAATCATATTTTTACTTGCTGAGTGAGCCACCACGAGGCACCTGTAGCCCAAAGGCAGGAGTCGGTGTGCTTGGCAGTACTGTTCATTAAAGAGCTGTGCTCCTGTCTTTGTTTCCAAGGTTGGCACATGGGGTCTGCTTACCCAGCTTTGAAGCCTACAAAGATGGCTCTCAAAATGGTCAAGGCCAAAGGTCACTGAAATTGAACAATGGATCATAAATCCGACTGGCCTCTTTTTTTATATAATGATTTATGGCTCTCAAGACAGTTATCTGCCATATTTTTTAAATTCAATTATTTAAACATGTTGCTTCAAGGAAGTAACTGGAATATATTTATGTTAAAGGACAAAATTCAAAGTTTTACTAGAAAAACTAACATGAAAAAAGCTGAGTGAGAGCTGGTTCTTTAGAGATGTTTACATAGAGATGATTTTATACTGGTTCTTTAGAGATGGCTACATAGAGATGATTTTGTAAATAACAACAACCTCCTCAGGCAGGAAAGATGTTTTTCTAAAGACCTAAATTCAGTCTTCCATCCACCCCATTCCAGAAGATCCAACAACTCTTTTGGGCCCTGAGGGCCCTGCACACCCTTGATACAGATATACAGGCAAAACACCCAGACACATAAATTAATTCTTTTCTGAAAATCTAACGGAAAATCACAAATTCATATTCCTTCATACTCCAATATTAAATGTCAAGAGATTTTCAAAGCACCATGTCAGTCCAGGGGACTCCCTACGTAGGGGGTCCCTGAGGTAAAATCTCGGCAGTTTATCACGCTGAACAGAAACCGTGGAAAGCAACATCCTCGATATCCCATTTCAATCTCCTACTTCACCACTGAGACCCAGGCCAAACCCCATTTTACACACTATTTCTAAATGATCCAGTGTATATTGTGTACAGGGAGAGCTGAGTGGGATTCAAGAACTAACTTCCGTTAATTCCTAAAATTTTTTAACAGAGGCCCATTTTTCTAGAAATGGTTTCAAAAGACTGTGTGTGTGTGTGTGTGTGTGTGTGTGTGTGTGTGTGTGTGTGTGTGTGCACAGAGGGTCTTGCAGTGCTACTTATGGTACGATGTTTTTGCCTTGGCTATCACTGGGATAGGAATTATCACACCACAGTAGATACTTAGGGTTTGTTGCCATGGATTTGTCCCCTTGAAAATCTTTCAACTGTGTCAAACGGAATGATGAAACCAGTTACATTTATTGGCGCCATGTGTGTTTTTGTTTTGCTTGGTAACGGACACACTTATCTTCATTAATGACAATGAAAACAACATTAAAACTGCTTTGAAATAAGAACTGGAAGTTTGAAACCAGACTGAGGAAGCAGTACCGAAATGACCCGGACACATGAACTTGGTTACGCCACCCTTGGACCACAGGTTTCTGGAGTGACCCCCAATGGGAAAATTACATTGTATCCAAGGGTTCAGGATGCACAGTCAAAGGTTACTGGACATATTGATACAAGGACATACTACCTTTCCTTTCTACAGGTCTTCTGGGGTTTGGATACACAGCTTCTAAACCAGTCTGGCCTAGAACTCCAGGCCATCTTTAGCCTGGATCCTAACCTCCAGGGGACTGGGATTACAGGGGTGCTTCACCAGCCTGGCTCCTCCTATGAGTCGTCCAGCATGTTCACCCAGCGTGTTTGTCATCAGTATTAAATGGTCCACAATAAATCCCCACGCCTCTTACCTTCCCTCATTTACTTGGATTTTTGTCCCCCCAAATTTACAATTCCTAAAACGCCCTCCCAAAACGATTTTCATCTTTGCAGTTTGAGTAGAACAGATCAATAATCTCTTTCCAAATTCACCAAAGTGGGCACATAAAGTTTTAAAAACAATTACCCAACCGGGTAAACAAGCAGACAACTGTGTAAAACAAACAAACAAACAAACAAACAAAACCCCTCCTTCAATGTCTGAGGCACAGTTACAACTTCCAGGGGGTGGGGAAAGCCCTAGAAGGATTAAACTTCAAGTCTTTCTTTTTTGCTCGTCCTTTCCAACTCAGGCTGACCTACTTACTGAAGGGTAAGGGACAACCTGGCAACATCTGCCCTTCACGCGATGCCATCTGCTGGAACTGGAGACAGGACACTTAACAAAAGGGCCACTGGGAGCTGTGATGTGCCCCGTGCATGCGACACCGTGGGCCGCCTTTCCTCCTACACACAATCGCGACGGCGGCTCGTCCCCTCGGTGGAAGGGGAGTCTAGCGCGGGCGGAGGGCGACATCCCGTAGCCCCGGGGTCCGCGGCCCGCCGCTGCCTGCCCAGCACCCACCACGCGCGCAGCCCCGGGGCGGAGGAAGCGGCGCCGAGACGGAAGCGTTCCCCGCGGGTGAAAGGTCACCGTCCCCGCCCGGGCTCCCGCAGCTCCGGGCGGACCGCTACCTCCCGGCACTCGGGGGACCGGGCGCTCGGACACTCGTGCGCTCGGGCCCCCGGGCCGCGACGCTTGGCGGTTGGGCCGTCCCGCACCCGACTTACCCCTCCCGCCGCGGCGGCCGCTGGGCTGGAGAGAGCTGACGCGAGGGGACCCGAGGCCAAGGGGACAAGGGGAGCTTTCTGGGTTTGTGGATTTGGGGGGTGGGGGTCAGAGTTCGTGACCCCTCCCTCGGCTCGGCGGTGCGCTCGGCGCCTGCGCGTTAGCGCGGTGGAGAAGCGGCCAGCGGCGGTGACGTTCCCTGGGTGAAGCCGAGGGCCCGGGAGTCCAGCGGAGGTTCTGGAAGTCGATTGCCCCCTGCAGGTGTGGAGGGAGACCGCCGCCGCCGCCGCGTGTGGGTCAGATGTCCTGCGAGTTGAGCAGCGAGTTCATAGACCTGCAACTCTGGCACGGGGCCTCCGAGGGCACTTGCCACCAGTGTGCACTTCCCAAACGTGCATAATCAGGAGTCAACCACAACCAGAACTGGGGGATGGCGCGATGGTTAAGAGTACTTGTTGCTCCTCCAGAGAACTCGGCTTGATTCCCAGCACCCACAGCACCGACCGGTCACTACCTTCTGTAACTCCGGTTCCACTGGATTTGGTGCCCTCTTCTGGTGCACAAACATACGTGCAGGCCAAACACCCTACACGTAAAAGTCTTTGGAAACCGGACCTGTTGGAAACCCAGACCTGTCTTTTAACTCCCGCTTTTCTCCCCAATAGGGTTTTCTTTTGTTCTGTTTTGTTTTTTTAAGTTTATTGACATGGGTGTTTTACCTGCACCGTATACCTGTGCATCACAAGTGCCTGGTGCCGGTAGAGGTCATCAACTCCTTTAGATCTGAAGTTACAGATAGTTGTGAACGGCCATAAGGGTGCTGGGAATTGAACCTGGGTCCTCTAAATGACCAGCCAGTGCTCTTAACTCTCCAGTCCCTTAAAGGAAGTTTAGAGTAACAATTAACAACCTAATTGGTTTGGGATAGATGTCTTTGAATCTCTGAAAAATTGGACTTGGTCTTATAGGCATTCTCTTAGACTACAGAGTGTTAAGAAGTCTGGGTAGAACCCAATCACACACAACTCCCCGGCAATATGAGAACAAGCTGAGGCAAAATCACGTCAAATTATACCCGGGTGTTTTTAGTAAAGAGCAAGATCACAATCGCTACTGTGTGTTACACTCTTAAAGGCTCCTTTTTGTTCATTTTGCTAGGCGATGTAGCCCCAGATATTTAACAGTTGCTGATGGGCAGTAACGATTTGCAAAAGGAAAGGTCACTGAGGGCACATCACGTCCTGACAGGGGTCACCTGCGGCAGGAATCTCTGCCTTGCATTCTGAGTACTGTGTGGTTCAGACTGTAAGGGGTGATCTGGACTCTTCCTGTCTTGTCTCCTTTCTCTGAGGCAGCTCTCTCTCTGTCTCTCCCTCTTTCTCTCTCCTTATTCCCTCCCCTTCCATCTTTCCATGGGGTGGGGATGATCAGGAAATTTCCTTTGTATCTAGATAAGCCCTGTAGAAAAGCAGCCAGATTCAGAGCAGAAACCCAAGTTGGAGGTGGGGGCACACCAAGACTCTGGTGAACCAGGCAGCACAATTGTTGTCTCCTATGCTCTTGGTCCCTCATGCCTATAATCCCAGTACTTGGGAGGTAGAGGCTGGAGGAAGAGGAGCTCAAAGCCATCCACGGCTATACAGTTTGAAGGTAGCCTGGGCTACGCCTCTTTAAAAAAGTGCTGCCATTTCCTATTGGACTTAAGTATTTAGACATAGGAAAGGGACATGCACCCTTCCCTAGCCATTAGAACTATGTTTCATAGTTAGCTCTCTGAAACTCTACCTCCACCTTTTAGTGTAGCATTGGTCACAATGCTATAAAGTAGCTCTTTCAGTACTTAAGCTGGTCCTGAATGTGTACACTATGAAAGCATACTGGATTCAAGGAAAAGGATCCATGTCATGTTTTTCCCCCCTCAGTGCTTAATGCACATGCCCAAAGGGATGCTTCTCCAGTTAATGTACTTAAGTCACAGGAAGCTGATGTATTAGAGCTTAAAGCCTGGGCTGGGCACAGGAGTTCATACTTGTAATGCCATTATGTAGGCTGAGGCAGGAAGATTGCTATGAATATTAGGCCAGCCTGGACCACAGGGTGAGACCCTGTCTCAAAATTAAACAATAAATCAGTCTTGGAGACCCAAACCACTTTAGGAACATTACTGTAGTGACATGTCTCCCTTGGTCATATGTTAGCAGGGGGGGGGGCAGAGAGATTCATCTTAAAGGTATGGCTTAAAAGTCTCCACTAAAACTGGGCTGGGCAGCACATGCCCATATCCCAGTTACTAAAGAGGCTGAGGCAGAAGGCCTGAAGACTGACGGCCAATTAGGGACAAGGTGTCAAAAAAAAAAAAAAAACCTCTAATAAAGGACTCCACACCAGCAGTAGACCAGTAGACATTATAGTAAATTTATTTTGTATAGATTATAATACATATTAACATTATTTACAATGCTATTTTTATTTATAAATGATCTTTATATGAACAATAAGAAACAAACCGTTATCACTTTAAGTAAAAAAAAGTATTGAGAAAAACATTAAAAGGCATTTAAAAAGTATTGTGAAACTGGTTCACACAGGCAGCCAAGTAACTCCAGGAAAGGGAATGCTGTCACCCTCCACTCCTCACCCCAAAGGAAAATGAATATTTTTATATTTAGTTTTTTTAAAAGCTCCTTTTACCTTTATATTCTTTTGTCTAGCAGTCAAGTTACTGTCAGAACTACTACCATCTCTGCAGTGTAGTACATAAACTTTTTGCTCTTCTTAAGAGTCTTTCCTAGAAGTAACTAACCTTTCTGACAAAGGAAAAACACCATAGATTGTCATTTAGAAACTAACGATAAACTGAAGATACTTTTTAGGGACCCACAGAAGATACTTAACAAGCAAATATTTATTCACTGCACACAGGGATTCTCATTGGATGTGGCAAATCCCCAGTGGAGAGGGTCAGCTGTTTTCAAGAACAGGATGTGTAAGAAGGATGCCAGTCTGTTTATGAACTGAAGACTACAGAGCACGGGGAAGAGCACATGGGGGGGGGATCCCATCACTGTGAAGCGTCAGATAGCAAGGAAGCAGAGCCGTGCTGACTGACATGAGAACAAAGGGAACCATGAACGGAGGGAGGCTGAAGTGGGTTCATGTGGAGTGTACGGGATGGGGGAATGCCACTCAAGTCTACAGGAATAGGAATTAAATCTGAATTCTGCTTTAGACAGATTGCTCTGGCAAGGTTTAAAACAGACCACACACAGGAGGCACTGAGATCAGAAAAAAAAATGTTTTTCTAGATAAGGGATGGAAACCCAAGTCTCATACATAGGAGGCAAATGGTGTGCACTGTGCTCAGAGGGAAAACTGTAGCAGCCATAAAGGGATATAACAGCAGGGAAATGAGCTGGAAGGGGCATGAAGGACTTAAGAGTCAGAGTATAGAGCCCCGTATGGTGTCCTTTTATTGCAGAAGAAAACAGGCTTGAGTGGGATGAAAGCTGAGTGCCAGTCATGCCACTGATGTGGCCTTGCAGGATGGTAAGGAGAGTGGGTGTAAGAACCGTGTTAGAATACGGGGCTGGGAGACTATGTCAGTAATGAGTCTTGTTACAGAGGCAGGGACACACTGAGGATGAGGCAGAGGGGCTGTCTTGAGAAAAACAGTGAGATTCTTACTCAAAATACCTTGGGAATCCTGTCCTCACTGCTTTCAACTAAAGATCCGAAGACCCAGGAGAAACGGATAGAAGAAACGTAGTATCTATCCTTAAGGATTGTACAGTACAATGGGATAGGATTTCCCTCTGGAAATTCCAGCATTTTGATTACATCATGCACAGTGGAGCACATTCAAGACATACCCCCATAAGCTTGGTGAGTACATTAGGCTCTCAAATAGGAGGTACAGGGCCTTCTATATATTTTACTAAGAAAAGCATACCTTCAAGTAGCTGTCCTCTGACTTCATTTTTTTTTAAATGTCAGTAAACAAAGAATCAAGGTTCTTACTGGAGAAAACTAGGGCAGTTGGGGAAAACAGAATAATACTGCTTACTTCAGAAAATGGAAAAAGGTTCAGAAACATGGGATAATATAAAGAATGGCCCTTTTCATTCTCTTAGGACATGGTGGGGGTTGGGGGTCTTCTGCATTCACCTGCTTCAGGCAGAGGAAGTACACTGCTTGGGGCACCGAGAATATCACTGCTCCTAGATTGGTCTGCCATCTTGTCTAGGTTACTTCTAGCTGAGTTTGAAGACCTGCCTGAGCAGGGTTTGACAACAGCACATGTATGTGCAATAAGCAACATGCTTGGGATCCAGAATCAGATGTTGCCCACACCCAGACCTCACTGGTGGTGTTCACCCTTAAATGTTAGCAATGGAGGTAGCTCACGGGTACAGTGTCTGCCTAGAGACCCTGGGTTCAATAACATTTTTTAAAGTAGTTATAGCAAATTATAAATATTCTCGTTTGCCATTGAATGAGCCAGGCTAAATAAATTATTGACCATATTTACTAGGTTATTAAGGGATCAGGGAGGGACAAGAATGCATTTAGAAGGTTTTTATGGGGAGCACTATCTGATAACTTGTATATTGTCCAGAACTTTCCATAAGACTAAGCAATTAGCAATTATAACCAGATACAAATTTCATCACATAAGAATTACTTTATGCGTTAACTCCTCTCTCTATATATATTTAGATTCTGAAGAGTTTTTTTTATTCAGAATACTGACTTTTTGAAGCTTATGAGCAAATATTAAAGAGGTTGAGAATTCAAAGAGGACAAAAGGTGGAAATATAAAGCATAAATAACGCTAGTCACCAAAGGAATACACTACATACATTGCACAGATATTTACATGGAAAACATTTATATGCTCCAATTAAATTGAGTTTCAAAGAACAGGCTGGCCCGTGGCAAGGAAGGTTGCATGTGGGATTGTGTGAGATTGCACAGGGCTTCAAATAATGCCATAGCCAGAGACAGTCACGAAAACCTACATCTATTACCTCAGATTTAGATTATCTGTAATAATCTAAATGTAATAATCTCCTGCATGTTATCTGTTAAGCATCCAAAAGGTCCCATGAATGTGTTCAAGATGAAAAAATAGTCATCAGGATGTAATTCTCAATGACTGACATCACAATAAATTAATCTATATAAAGAAGTAGAAATATTTTGCATTTTAATATAATATTCTGTGGATAACTTTGCCTTTTAGTTGATAGTTTAAACTCACACTCAACAAAATAGTTAAACACTGAAACAATTTTAAGCATGTTAGCTTCATTCTTCTGCTGCTAATCAATAATTTTATGTGTAAGGGGGTTTACATGCTAAATAGTAAGTGAGACAGAATTAAGAATATGAACTTGAGCTGGGCGGTGCTGGCACACGACTTTAATCCCAGCACTCCCAGAGGCAGAGGCAGAGGCAGGTGGATCTCTGTGAGTTCGAGGCCAGCCTCGTCTACAGAGTGAGTTCCAGGACAGCTAGGACTGTTTACACAGACAAACCCTGTCTTGAAAAACTAGCAAACAAATAAACCAAATCAAAACAACAACAATGAAAAGAATATGGACCTTTCCTAATGAGGGACACTGACTGGCAAAGTCTGTTATGGAAGCCCAGTACATGGGAGCCGAGGCAGGCAGCCTGGGCTACACAGAAGGACACAGAGGGTGAGAGAAGAGTGAACTTTACAAGTCAAGGTGAACAAATTACAGCAGCACAAAATTTCCTTTAAAGATGTGATAGTGATTTCAGGCCACTTTAAAAATACACGTTACAGAAAATATGACACCCTTTTAGATATAAATACCAACAATGACTTAACCTCCAAATTCTTAAGAATAGTAAGGGATATTGGATAACATGTTAGCTGCCATATTCTGTTTTAGATCACTGAGCCTGGTGGCACACATATGTAATCCCGGCACTTGAGAAGTCAAGCAGGTGAGTCCAGGCTAGCATGGGTTACATAATGAGTTCCGGGCCAGCCTGGACTCCAGAGTAAGCCTCTATCTCAGAAAACCAAGAAAAAAAAATCACATTTATACCATTGGCAGTTTTAAATACAGACTGGGGTGTGGTGGTGCAGGGCTTTTGCTCCAGGCATTCAGAAGCTGAGGCAGAAGACTGTAGCTCAAGGTTTGCCTGAGTTACACAGCCTGGCATTTAGCAAGATCCTATGGGACTGGGAGGGAGGTGAGGCTGGGGACACAGTTATCAGTACATACGGCTGGGATTTCATTTCACATCCTGAGGTAGAAGCTGGCTATGTGGATCTCTATTGCAATATAAAATAATTTCATCTAGGTTTAGTGATTCAAAATATGCATTTCCATCAGCAATTTTGTAATTGTAATTTCTACACCAAACATTGTATGGAAATATGCTCCTTAATGTGTGTTTTATCTGCAAAGACTTACCAATAGTGAAGATGTCATGATGTAAGGCAGAGACAACGGTGTGGACAATACATCAATAGTGTACAGTATACAGGATTAAGGTAAGTTTGCATCTCTAAACAGTACTTTAGAATTCAGTGAGTCTCAGAAACAATTCTGACCAGCAAGTAAACATCAACATTTTAATAAATAACATACATGAAAAACATTTCTAAGAACTGTATATACCTAACAAGACAGTTTATCTCCTAATGGCTGTGGCTGGATTTATCTTGGCAGTGTTCATTTTTACTCCATCCTGCTGAGCTGAGTGAGCCTCCGCCTTGTCAGAATCACAGGGAAAATGAAGCCAATACTGCTACAATATTGTGCCTTCCTGAAATGCTTCTATCCACCTGGTGATGAGAGATATCTGTTAGACTGTTGAACTCCAACCTTGGGACACCTATGAGTGTGACACAATTGCTGATTTAGGACCTTTCCTACAGCACACAGGAGTTCTTACTCACAGGGAGCTACCCTTTATTTGGTAATTTCATCCAACATTTGGCCTGGAAAGTGTGTTCTTAGTGGCATCACTACGTCATGTGCAAATGTCTAACATGTCCTAGGATGAATGAGACAGCACAGACTCTTGCCACCAAGCCTGACAACCTGACTTTGGTCCCTGGGACCTAAATGATGGAAGGTGAACTTGCTCCTGCATGTTATCTGTTAAGCACACACATGTGTGAGTGCGTGTGCAAGTGTGTGTGTGGGGTGGGTAGGTGAGCGTGAGTGTGTGTTTACTTGGCTTTGGAAGGGATACGTCAAAGGCCCTTATTACAATTCCTTTCCTCTCTTTCTGATGTTCTGACTCAGTGAGTTTTGCTACGGACCTCTTTTTTTCCCCTTAAACTCTACCAACCAAAATTCCCTTGTATGCCCCCTAAACCAATCTTGCTCCAAATTTCTCAACAAAAAGGAACTGATCCAGCAATTTGGTCTATTCTAAGATCAAGAATTTACATACAACACAAAAGTTTTCCAAAATTTCATAGAAGTCATCACAAAATCTTGATTCTCAAAGTCTCGTCTGGCAAGAAAGCCACAGCTGCAGTCACTCAGAATACATTTGTGCTGTCTGCATTTGCTCTTTGTTATCTGGACTCCTCGAAACCTACTCCACCCCTACGCTTACTGACAAAAAATTCCTACAGTAACACATTACAGACTAAAGAACTAGAGCAAGCTATGAACGTCTGAAATCAGCAAACCTCAGAATAGCCCATTAACACACTCAGCTCAAATTTCAAGGACAGAATTTCCAAATTTTCTCATTTTAGGTGCAAATAGCTTATGTTATACTGCAACAGAACACTTCAAAGAAGTTCCACAGGGGCTGGAGAGATGCTCAACACTTAAGAGCACTGACTACTCTGGAGGAGCCAGGTTCAGCTCCCAGTACCCACATGGCGGCTCACGGCCATGTGTATGTAACTCCAGTTCCAGAGGATCTGATCACCCCTTCTGACCTCCCCCAAGCACCAGGCACACATGTGGTGCACAGACATTCATGCAGGTAAACACCCAAACACATGCGTGCGTATGCACGCACACACGCGCGCACACATACACACACACACACACACACACACACCCAAACACAAGCACATGCGCACCTCAAATCAAATCTAATAAAACCTCGTCACAGAGAGCAATTGAATGCTCGTTAAGAAGGAGTTATCTGGATGAATAGCTGTACATTGCTGCATGTCCTACAGCAGATAGGGGCAGGGGGAGTTTTTCAGAGTGCAGCATGGTGCCTGGCTGGCACTTGGACACATATGCAATTCTAGCACATTAACTCTTAACTGCCGACAAAAAGGTCCACCCTGCTTATCCTCAAAGTGCTGCCTTGTACCCCAGTCACTTAACCTGGAAGCCTACAGAGAGAAAGGAACACCAGGGTACGCTCCTTAGTGTGGCATGAATCAAAAGAGCTATGAGCTCAGAGGGCCTTCACCTCACAGGCACACACCTGTAGGTTAAACAGTTACAGTTTCCCGGCACCTCAAATTAAGATTCCTGCTGGGATTTTGAGGAGATTGCTCCGGTCTTGACTATCTAAAATGGTATCTGTTCCCTTCTACTCAGCCCCTGGAAATAGCCTGTGAGTCCTCTTATTGTGTTGATTTTCCTGCACAGTAGTAAGCTAGCCAACAGGTGCTTTGCTTGTTTTAAAGTCCTGCTGGTCCACAGAACTCCTGCCCTCTCTGAAGGTCAGGCAGGGCTCTGCCTGCACTTCTGCCTCCCTCAGAGCAGAGCTCCAAGCACTTCCTCCCAGGTCACGTGCAGACACACACTATGGACAGGACTACCCATTACTTTCATCTTCTGTTTTAAAATCATCTGACCAATAGGTTAAACCTTCCTAACTGGGATCTCAGGTTTAAACCGCTCTCTGTGCTTTTAAAATGTTATTTAAGACAACAGCTTGAAGTCTCCTGTGGTAAAGGGAAATCTGCATTACTTACTTCTGAGTGGAGTGGGCATCATCTGCCTTAAACACATAAAACACCATGCCTTTGTGCAGCAGCTGAAACACTTTTGACTCTGAGTTCTCATCTTTGACTTGAGTGACGGTAAATCCTAATAAAGGCTGACTCTCCAAAGCGGCCACATCCTAATTTAAGACAGACCAGGGAGGATAGGACTTTAGGCTGAGAGGTAATTCAGGCTTGCAAAGTCTTGATCTATACAGCCCAATTTAATACACAACACAGTGATTCTTAGTTTTACTTAATCAGCAGGGAGCCTCCTACTCACCACCTGCCATGTTTCAACAAGTTTATACCCACTGAATCCCATTGTTCTCACTGGAGCCAAGGAAAGCAGGCGATGGCCTTACTTTCAGTTTATGGATGGGGACACCAAATGCTCAGAGGAGTAGGTGACTTACCATGGAGGAAATCTGGGACTCTGGCTACTGTTTGTCTCACTCTATAGCTCCAGCAGACCTGGAACTCACAGTGACTTTCCTGCCTGGATTCTCCAAAGGTTTTGTTTTTCCCTACGCCCCCACTTTTTTGTTTGTTGATCTTACTATGTAACCCCGGCTGGTCTGGAACTCACAGAGATCCACCTGCCTCTGCCTCTAAATGCTGGAATTAAAGGCATGCGCCACCATGCCTGGCCCTCCCTTCCTTAGTTCTAGAGTCACATGTAACCCAAGGTGACCTCAAACTCCTCCCATAACTGAGGCTGAAGCTTGAACTCCTGAGTCTCCTGCTTGTACCATGCAACTGCAAGATTGTAGGCATGTGGGACCACACCCTACTTCCCTAGAGGCCTTCATAGGCTGCTGGGACACAAGTCGGGGCAGCTGGAGACAGCTGAAGACAAAGCTAATCTTATTTGTGCTGATGCCTGACCAGTAAGTACAAGCTGGAGACACCGACAGAGAGGCTGGGAGAGAGGCAATCCCTGTCTTGTGTGAAAAAGCAGTCACGTGACAACAGAAACACCTCCATTTTAGTACGCTTCAAAATGCCTAACACTTGTGGAAAATAAGAATAACACCATACCAGGACAGGCTCACACTTGTAATCCCAGCACTGGAGAGGTTGAGGCAGAAGGATGACTGAGTTTGAGGACAGACAACCTGGGCTAAATGGTGAGTTATAAACCAACCTGGCCTATTTGGTGAGTCACTGTCTCAAAAACCAAAAGACGGAAAATGAGCACCGCCACTCCCTGCGTCTAAAACAGCACTTGCTTGGCATGCCCAGACCCCGTGTACACCCTCAGCTCTGCAAAACCCTCCAACAGACCCCACAAAACTAAAGCAAGACCCCAAAGGCACCCTCAAGCGTCCATTTACCTCACTTGCAGCATATGTATAGAGCACTTTGTTTTTGATGACAAACCATAAGTGCTTCCAAGGCTTTTTGCTGCCCTTGGATCTGTAAAGGTAGCCACTCATAGTAGAGTCTTCTGTGTTTGCTGACACCTGGAAAAGGAAGTCCCACAGGTAGTAACAACAAACAACACAAGTTACTTGCAACCACTAGCTGTTGAAAGCAACAACCATAACATTTCAGAATGACACTGGGTGTTCTCTGCGTTGGGGGGAGGGGTACAGTAAAGAAATTGCCCACATGACTGTCCCTTGATATTGCTTTAGGTTTTTATTGTAGATGTAGGAACAGCCAGGGGCAACTGGAGGCTTTCAGAGCAGACAGACAGAAGGAGACAGAACGTGGCCAGGGCTACTTGCTAGAGGGGAGACTAGCGGATGTTGAATAGAAAACAGTGAGAACAGCTGAGTTACAGGAAACTATGGGCTGGAGGGAGTTTAGGGTTAGGTGAGGAGGTTACACTCCAGCACAGACCTTGAGGAAGCCTGGAGGCCAGCCTGTGCTTTGATACGATGACAGGCACCCAATAGCCACACAGCCACATACCACAAATCCCTTCGCCCAGAGGTAAGAAAAATGACCCCATTTGGCAGATGGAAACCAATTTCGCAAGTTCCTGAGGAATGTAGCCTTTTATCTAACTGACAGAAATCCTCCTGTAGCTCAGGTTGAGCCCATTTCTGGCTATCTGGACCGCCTCTTGGAGTTTGGAGAACTGGAAGTTCCTTTGAACCTGACATTCTCCAGCTCATATCCTACAGTCTGAAGTCTGTCAGTATGAAAACCTTCCTTTTGAGATGATCCCAGAGCTTTGCCTGGCTTGCCCATTCCTGTGGGCTTCTGTCTCTGCGGCTCCGCTGTGTTCTCTGCTTTGTCAGAATAGAAATAATCCAAAGCCTACCAAATGTTTTCCTCGGGCTGCAATTCGGGAGCCACGTATGTTTGTTACCTGTTGCTCAGGTCTACATGGTGAGCTCCAGGCAAGTCAAGGCTATAATAGCAAGGGCCTGGCAAGAACAGGAACAATTGGGGAGGGGGGGTTAATTCTTCCCTCCTACCACAGGGGTCACCCACAGGGTTAAACTCAGGCTGTTAGAACTGACACTGAATTCAGGGCATAAGGTTTAGCAGCAAATGCCTTTACCCACTGAGCAATCTGACTGGCCCATATTCCTCTTTTAGGATTGATTAATTTATGTGCCCCACAAAATAGTCAGTCAGTACTGACTATCTATGAATATCCCTCTATTATCTTTCCAAAAGTAAAATTCACAATAACCAACTTAATTACCTGGTTCATAAAACTTGTCTCACTTTTTGCTTGTGTCTGAGTTCTTAAGACAGGCTCTCATGTAACATTAGCTAGCCTAAAACTTACTGTATAGCTGAGGGTGACCTTGAACTCCTGATCTTCCTGCCCATCCATACCTCTTCATTTTAAAGATGGGCCTTGCTATGTTGCCTAGTCTGGCCCTGAACTCCTAGAATCAAGTGATCCTCCTAGCTCAGGCTACAGAGTAGCTAAAGCTACAGGCATGTAAGCCATCATGCCTAACATGATTTCAAAGTTAGGAATTTAGATTCAGAAATTGAAGGATTAAAGAGATAGTTTGTAGACATTCTCTAAATTGACCTAAACTGTTTCATATATAACCAAACCAAACAGTACAGATCAGTAAAAGCTGATGAAATAGCCAGAATGAGTTTGTACTTTTCCCTATGGTAAAGGACCCCTTTTAAAATGACGCCTATGTCTACTTTCTATGACTGCAATAAATGTTCTCCAAAGCTTTCTGCAGCCACTTTGTCAACCACCCAGGTCATGAGGAAGATAAAGACTGCAAGGCACCTGCTATACCCAGAGCATTAAAATTCATGTCCTACTACAGTGGGAAATGACATCCTCCTTTATGGAATTCAGCTTTGTCAAGTTTAATGGAAACACTTACTTCTTTGAGAGCAGCTGGAATTTTTTTCTGTTTCCTCCCTGACGGGATACTATGCAAGACCGATGACAAGGCACTTGTAGGAGACTTGTGATTCCCAGGAGATCCAATCCTAGGAGGCAGCTGGTGATCTATAACAAAGCAGGCTGCTCATGCAGTAAGCAGGCATTTCCACTAGCATCATTAAACAATCATATACAAAATACCCATGAAAGGGTTGTCAGGAAACAAAGGTGGAGGCAAGAACTGAGCAGGAGCCGAGCTAATTACAAATGGAGTTTTAAAATTACAAACCACATGGAAAGACCACATTTCTGAGTCCTTAGAATTCTGACAGGGATACTGTTCAGTGACAGGGTGCCTGCTTTGTATATACAAAAGGTTCAATCATCGGTACCAAAACATAAAGTAAAAATTCCTTGTGACGGACATGGACATGGTGGCACATATCTGCCACCCACATCAGGAGGATTGGGAGTTCAAAGTCCATCCTTGCTTACCACAGCAAGTTCAACCTCAACTTGAATTACACTAGACTCTATCTCAATAAGCCATAAATCAATCAATCAATAAATAAAGTGATTCTCAAGCATACAGGTACACCATTAATTTTACAAACTTCCCTACTGACTTAAAGAGGTTGAAACAGACAATGGAAGAGACGTATGAACCAGAAAATCTGCTTGTTGAATAATGACGCTGGGGGAAAACAGGGTGGGGGTGACTCTAAGTAATTTGGAATCTGGTTTAGGCTGGGGAGGGGCTGAGGGCTGGGGGGGCTATGAACAATTTGGCCCCATGATAATCTTCCTGCTTCAGCCTCCTAAGTGCTGTCATTACAAGTGTGAGCTGCGCTGCCTGGCTCTAAATCAATCATTTTCTGTTTCATAAAAATCAAGATTTTCTGAAACAAAACTGGCAAGATCTACTGACCAAGCAGAGGTGGGTGATGAGAGGCGAATAGCATTTCACATTGGTATACCCAAAGAACAAAGAAGGGAATAGAAAGGCTGGCAAAGAAGAGATGGGTGTTGTCTGCAAAAACGTATACAAACAATAACTACCGACTTATAAAAACAGGCTTCTAAAATGGCACGGCATCTAGTTTTATTCACAGATACTCCTCTTTTCTAAAAGGAAGCTGCTTTTCATGGTTATAAAGGATGACAACTTTAGAATTTAGATCCTATAGATTTCAGAAATTTAAAATATAAACTTGAGCAGTCCTCTTAGCTGACTTTACTTTGCCTGTAGGCAAATAATGCTTGCAGATACTAAATGGGCAGATACAAAATACCGTGTATTTATTCAAAAAGTCACACCTGCCAAGAGTGGTAGCAACATTTGGAAGGTCAAGTGCTAGGCTAATAATCTGAGTTACGAAGGGAAACTATCTCAACACATAAATAACTAAGTAAAGGTGCACAGAAAAATCTCACTAATCAATCATTTAATGAAGCAGAAGTCACCAACAAAGTGCCAGTTTGTATGTTCCCATGCTGAATGACTCTGCAGATAAAAATATTTGGGGGACGAGGACTGTAGTTCAGTGGTATAGCACTCACCTCATGTGTGCAAAGCTTTGGGTTTGGTCCCTTGTACTCCCAGGGGGTAGAGTGGGGAAAGAAAAGAAACTCCATCTCAAAATGAAAAACAAGGGCTAGAGAGATGGCCCAATGGTTAATATCACCTGGGTTCTTGTTGTTCATTCAGTAACAATTCCGTATTTTTTTAGTAAAACCATTTCACGTTGGTAGAAAAAAGGCTCAGACTAATTACTCTTGGAATTACCATAAAACTCAAGTCAGAGCAGACTAGGAATTAAGACAAGTCCAGCAATTATGCTTCATGTCCAACATGTTTTTAGGAGGCTGACAGAATCTGAGGGAGAGACTTTGGTTAAATGTTTATTTTTATATTACCTAATTTCTGTAGTTCTTGGAAGCAGTGTTCACATACTCTTGCCAGTTGCCTTTTCAGGTAATCTAAGCCATACTTATTTGATGAGCAAGCTTGGCACACAATCTGAAAACACATTGCAATTATTTCATTTAGAAAAACTTTTGATTACAAGCCATAAAAAGGCTACAGTTTATAGCAGCGTCCACTCACCAAAACAGTTTGACAAGGACTGAATTTCACTTATCTCATGGCGTAGCCAGCTAACTTACAGAGCACATACAAAGAGGGGCTACACCTAAGCTCCCAGTGCTTGTGTTCAACAATGTGCTCAGCAGAGCTAACTCATGCGAACCTCCAGAACCCTGCCTAGTGTGCAGGAACATCTGCCATTCTCACTAATGTCCCTCATCCTAAGCCTCCTCCCTGCCACAGCAATAACTACATCTCTGCGACTCTACCAGGTCATGGGGCCCAGTGGCATCCTTGAAGGAGTTCTCTCTTACTAAGCTCATCCTGCTTAAAGAAACCATGAAGGCTTCTACTTCGGTGTGGATTGGAAGCATCTTCCAAGGACCCGTGTGAAAGTCCCGCTTGGGCACTAGTAGGAGGTAGCACAAACTTTAAAAGGTCGTTAGGGTGGGGCAGCTTCAAAGAGGAGCATGGGGTCATTTCTTCCACGTTTTACTCTTACCAGTCGAGTGCATGGCTTTTCTCACTACATCCTCTCAGCATCACATGGTGCACATGGTGCCTTAACCCCAGTGCTACAGGCCAAGGCCATACACTAAAGTCCAAAACTGTAAGCTAAAGGAAATCTTTCCTATAACTTATAAAGAAATTGATTAGTTGGGTCAGGTGCGATGGCACCTTTAATCCCAGCATCAGGAGGAAGAGGCAGGTGGAGCTCTGAGGTTCAAGTTAAAACTAGTTTACATAGAGAACTCCAGGGCAGCAAAAATACAGGGTCCTTCCTACTGATCCTTGTTTACATGAAGATGGCTAAAAAACTAAGAACTAATAAAAATAAGAGTCTATAGAGTTGTTTTGTGTTTTTTTTTATTTTATTTTTTTATTTTTTTGGTTTTTACAAGACAAGGTTTCTCTGTATTGTTTTGGAGGCTGTCGGTCCAGCCTGGCCTCGAACTCACAGAAATCCGCCTGCCTCTGCCTCCCGAGTGCTGGGATTAAAGGCGTGCACCACCGCCGCCTGGCTGAGTTGTTTTGTGTTTTAAGACAAAAAGGTTGGCATTGAACTTGCTAAAATCTTCCTGTTTCATCTTCCTGAGGACTGGGATTTACAGGCATGTGCCACCATGCCTGGATTAGTTTTCATTTTTGAATATAGGTTCTCTATGGCTGCAGGAATACTGTAACTGTGGGTAGAGAGGAGGAAGGAGAGTCTCCAACAATGCTCCTCCTCCAAGCCCGATTATACAGAGAAGCCAGCATCTGTGGTCTTGACTATGATTGCTTCTTGCTTCATATACTACAATGACTTCTGAGAGAGTATTCCTCACTGCGCATAGCTCAGAAACACAGAAACCACAACAGGGATAGATACTGTCCCTTCTGACCTTTCCACAGGCCCTGCAGTGATGTCTTCTCCAGGTCAGAGTAAATTCACTTGTGCAAATCATACACATGGTGGCTCTGGTGTCAGGGATCCAGATGGGAGCCTTTGACCCAAGAGGACTAACTTCCTCTTTCTTTTCCGAGTCCTGTGGAAGAAGAATGCCTTCTGATTACTCGGTGCACACTGCCTGTGATGGAAGCATGTCTTTGTAGCGGCCTTCTCCGGGCTGATGGCATCATTAAGGGTGTGGGAGGGGACGTGGGATGACATTTTGAGTCCTCAGTACATTAAGATTTTGCACTTGAAAACCCTCTGCTAGCGAGAGTGTCTGTAAAAGATGTTCATGGTACCGAGACGATTGCTTCTTCCTCACGCTACTCCTGCTTCCTCAGTTCCCCAGTGAAAGCTGGGCATAGAGCTGAGCTAGGGCACATGCTTAGTGTGGGGAAGGCCCCGAGTTCAATTCTTACAACACACAGACACACACTCCCTCCCCATATATACTCACGCACACACAGACACACACAGAAACACAGACACAGATATAGACCCTCTCTCTCTCTCTCTGTCTCTCCTCTCTCTGTCTCTGTCTCTCTGTCTCTGTCTCTCCTCTCTCTCTCTCTCTGTCTCTCTCTCTCTCTCACACACACACACACACAAAGTAAATAAAAAATCCTACACTTAAGTCTTGTAACTAGGAGAAACTTGGGGTACACACACCTCCTCCAATCCATCTCTTAACAACAGTTTCCTTTTCTAAACCTCTATGAACTCTTTACAGTTAAAGGAAGAGCCAAACCCTGAAGCAAGCCTAGCAGGAGAAGACAAGAAGGACAGTACCTCATCAAGACTCCTGCTGGGGCAGAAGGTGATTTTCTTCTTGGCATACTCTTCTATTGACCTGGATATGGCCTCCAGCCAGTCATCTCTTTCCGTGGCAGAACTGATGGGGGTAAAAGGTTCCATCAAGAAGACATCAGCACACTGAGTCCTTCTGTCCTTTTTTCTCCTTTCCCTTTTCCCCAGGCAACTAATACTACCTTCCTGTCAGGTCCAAAGGATAGACCTTCCAAAAGGAGTCATTTTCTTTACCTCTGGCTGAAGGGTCATATGGGTACTTGTGGTTGCGAATCAGAGCCCAGTGCGGCCTCCAGGCTCCCTCGGTACCACAAGAGCACGCTATGCCTGTCAAAGTCCACGGCAGCGTGCGAGCCCAATTCACCTCCCCAGGCGTCCTAACACCCAGACACCCATTTGTTCTCTTCATAATGGCAAATGTCCCCCTGCCTCCCCCCGCTATTCTAGCTATATTCTCATCCTGTCTCCCCCTCCCCTTCTCTCTCTCTCTCTCTCTCTCTCTCTCTCTCTCTCTCTCTCTCTCTCTCTCTCTCTCTCTCTCTCCCATTTTCTTTCTCTCACTCACTATGCTCTATTCTGTTTTCTCACATTCCTCCATTTCCTTAGCCCTGGTCACGTCCAGTTGCTGGTCATGTTCAACCCACTTCTTTCTCTTTTTGCTCTGGACTCTCCCAGATGACATTGGCTACTCCCTCCCTACCCCCACCTACAATAAAATTTTTCCTATATCGTGTCAGCAGTTTCTTTACTGTGCCCCTTCTCATATAGCTGGTGCTGACACCCAAGGTATGGACCATTTGTTTCTGCTGGCTTCTGACACCCACCATACTCTACTCCCAATTTTAGAGTCTGTCTCTCCAGCCACTTCTCCCCTACCTGCTCTAAGTGCTCAGCTCTCCTTGCCTCCCAATTGGTAAGTGCCCTCTCAGTCCCTCTGCTCCTGGAGCCTCCCACGCCCTCTGCCTCTCGCTGGCTCAGTGGGCTCTGCTGTGTGTCTCTCCACCGTGATTCAGGGTGTCTCTCCTAAGGCCCTTCCCTCTCCCCTATTGGAATGCTCCCTCTGGAGAGGCTCCTCTTCCTGACCCTGTGCCCCACATCTTTCCCATCTCACATCTGCTCTGCTCCTGGCTCTTTTCCCACCTGCCTCTTGGCTCAATCCTGGAACTTGATTCATCTGCCTTCTCTAATCTATTTCCTCCTTGGACTCAAAGATTTCATTAAAGCCTCACGGTCTTACTGTAAATGGTTTGACCTCAGTACAGCTCAATGGCCCAAAAATGGCACACTCAATTTCCAAATTCCCGAAGATTTGTTTTGTTTTTGTGGGTTTTTTTTTTTATTTTTTGAGGGTTTTTTTTTTTTTTTTTGTTTTTTTGAGACAGGGTTTCTCTGTATTGTTTCAGAGGGTTTCCTGGAACTCGCTCTGTAGACCAGGCTGGCCTCGAACTCACAGAGATCCTCCTGCCTCTGTCTCCCGAGTGCTGGGATTAAAGGTGTGCGCCACCAATGCCCGGCCTGTTTTTGTGTTTGAGTCAGGTTTCTCTGTGTAATCCTGGCTGTCCTGGAGCTTGCTCTGCAGAGATCCACCTGCATATGCCTTCTGAGTGCTGGGATTAAAGGTGTGAGTAACCACTGCTGGTGACCCGCAGAATTCTAACAACTTCTGCCAACACACACACACACACACACACACACACACACACACACACACACACACACACACACACATCCCAAAAATCTCTTATATTTAAATTTTCTCTGCTTTCCACTCTTAAAAATCTCCTATCTCTCTGCTCTCAAAGAATCTCTTAAGATCCTCATGTAAACTTTGTATCTCAAGATTTGTAAGTTTACTAGGTGTGGTTTAAAAATCTGTAAAATCTTTAACAAAGCTTAAAACTGAAAACAGAAACGGTTGATTGAACTCAATTCTTGTTTATGAACAGTAGGACTTACTAACAACAAATGTTTGATGACTGAAGTTTAAGATCTATTGAGGCCAGCAGAAACTGACTTAAACATACAGGTCTAGCTGCTGTGTCTTTGCTAACTTTGTTAAGTTTAGATATTTGAGATAAACGGAGTCACACAACTAACTGTGATACTATGTAAAGGTACTATGTAAAGACCAGAAAGACAGAAGATGGTGACAAGGCCCTGTCGTTGGCGCCATAAACCGTAAGCTGGAGTAGGAAACTGAGGGTGCCTGTGGTGTATGGGCTCACCCAGCGCTCAGCACACCGCGTTTTGTTCTCACCAGGGTTGTCTTTAGCCCAACTCAATGGTGAACAGGCCAGAGAAGAGGCCTGCATGGAAAAGGGCATTCTCCTTTTGCCGTTTCCAACCATACCTCTCCCCCCACACTGTGTGGTTAATTCCCATTCATTATCAGTGTCAAGACAGTTATGAAGTCATTGAAATTTGTTTTGCATACTCAAACCTTCCAGGCACACTTTAGGGAATATAAATATGATAACCTATAGATTTACACGGAGAGGGAAGGAGAAGAGACAATCTATTTCAAATCTATCACACTGAAATAAACCCTTCACAATGGGAGCATAATGGTGCCAGGAAATCCCTGTATTTCTTAGAAAGTGATAGTAAAGTCTGCAAAATGACGTGACAACTACAGCTGGATTTAAAATACGTCAGAAAAATGTCAGACAAGAAGTCAGCTCATTGCATTATTCACTCTAATTTTAAGTATAACCTATTCAATATATAATACATATAATATATATTATACATTATATATATCATGTATTCAATATATATCAACTATATCAAATGTATAATATGAACAAATCAAATAAGAACAAAATAAAATTAAACAAAACTCTAAATTATGAATAGAGAGACATATGGATAGGCACAGGGTACTGTTTTTTGGATTGTTTTTGTCTTCCTCCCCATTTGCCAGGGCTAGAGGATCAATCCTGGGAGGAACTTAGGAATTCTACACTAAGAACTCTAACAACTATCTGCTACAGTTCTAGTTCCAATTGTTACTGTAGAAGATGCTAGAACCACTTGCCTTTCCCATAATAAGTATTTTCAATAATGTACTTCCCTGATAAATTCCATTTAGGATATTTATTCATATTGGCAGAAGAATTTACAAATGATGTTGACAAACTGACGGTTCCCAAATTTTTATTACAAAGAACACAAGAAATAACACTTCTCTATCTAAACCAAATAAAATCTGCCTGTTACTTCTAGCATTATTGCCAAAGACAACTGCTAACGAATAGTTACTGTGTTCAACCAACAGCACAAAAATGCTTCCCAAACGTCACTATTTCTCATCTTTGAAGTCCCTGGGATACCCACTGGATCTTACTTCTGCCCACTACATTAGCAGACATTGCCAGCATGTGCAGATGAGAACTGTGGACCACTGGCCTATCAATGACCATTTCCTGAGTTAGGAACTGACACAAGATCAAGTGTGGCGAAGGGCTGAACCCTTCACCGCCGGGTCGGTACCATCTGGTGTGTGTTCTCTCAAGAACCACAACACAGGAGCAGACACTTAGACTTCTGGGCAAGCATCTATGAATCATTACCAGCTCTCCTTCCACCGGCCACTTTCTGCTCGAAGTAACTGAAAACAGAAAGGCAGATGGCTAATTTGAGAATTGCTTTTGGATGTTTCTGGAGCCCTAGGAGCATGAGAAATGTGATTTGACTGTACAAATCATGTCACATATGCTGTTCTTTTGTTTAATCATTCCTGGCGCTCTCTTGTGTGGCCTTCTGCCAAGACAATGTTTACCAGCTCTTGATAACACATTTCTTACAGACCACACACATTTGCCTGGAACATACAGAGCTGACATCCTAGGCCTTTTGTAATACAACTAGCAGAAAGACCCACATCTTCCTCAAACTGACAAATGTGTACATCATCAGAAGGCAAATTTTGTCAAATAAAATTATTTGCTTCTCGATTGCAAAGAGTTACTGAGAGGAAAAACTGTCCAAGTAAAGGGACTTCTGGTATACCAGACCTTTCCACACCAATGTTTGTGCTGATGGCAGGGTGTAATGCTGATGCTTAAAGGCCACATGACTGTGAATCTTCTGAATTACGTTTACTGGACTATTATGGTACGTTAGGGACTGTGAACTGGACATACGGAACAGGCTTCAGCTAAGGGTTCATACCTTACTCTGGAGAAAAAGTAACCAGCATATAATGCATGCATAGAAGAGGAACACTGTTTTATTTAGGTTACAGGGCACACCTGCAGAGGGGCTGACAGGACCTGAAGAATTACAGGGGGAACAGCAGTCTCTCTGTGTACCCTCATTCAGTCTCAGACTTGGGTTATCTCCAAAATGCTGGCATTCAGGCGTCCTTCTGACACTGAAATCCTTGCATGCTGACATTCTACATGTTCAATGTGCATACTAACCCCTGATTTTTCCCTCAACTGTTCTCCTTCAAGGGCTACCTATCACGGTAAATGGGTATCATCACCCTGCAGCCCATAAAGTCTGCCAACTCTTGACAAATAACCCTTTCTTTAGCCTTCTGTGTTCAATTAATCACCTTCTCCCCATGTGCTGTCCAGACAGGAGTGAATTTTCTGACCACATTGTTCTCTGTTATAAACTATTAAGTGGCTTTCCTATGGCTCTTATGCTAAAGACCCAAATGTACAAGCTGGTTCTGCATACTGCTTTACCAGGCCCTCCAAGCTTCTCTCGGGTGCCTCTCGTGTCATTTCCTAGCTCATACTACATGCTCCTTCTACCTCGGAACCTTTGTAGTCAGTGTTGTGAAACGCCAGGAGGCCATTGCTTTTCCCTTTGCCTAGTTATCCAACACCCATCCTTCATAAATTGTGTACACAACAAGCCTTTAAGGCCTATCTCCATGTCCTTTCTCCCCCGAATCTAGCTTGCGTATCAGCCTCATAACAATTCGTAGTCTTCCTGTAGCCTACTTAATTATAGTAATCCTTACTTGGGTTCATATTTGCTAAGCACACGTCTGCCCTAGTGGATATAGGCTTAGTGAAGAAAGGCTCTTTGACTCATTCACTATACCTCTATGCCTAGCACAATGCTTAGCCAAAGGCAGAGGCTCCATATTACTAACTAAATGCAGCGATGAAGCCCAGGCAGAGGAGCTCCCTGGGAAAGGGAAAGATGGGGAGTAGGATAGCATGCATGGGGACATAAGCTGGAAGCCAGGTACTGACTCTCTCCAGCTATGCAGGTTCTAGATGCCTCGTCTACTAAAGGAAGGCCGTTTCGTTTATATAGAAGACCTGTGGGCTGGCGTCAGCCCCTTCTTCGATCACCTCAGCTCCATCTTCCGGATAACTCCCAGCAGCTTCTACATCGGTACCCGCTGCTTTATATAGTCACCTTCTGTTTGCATGCTATGAGACTCAGCACAACCCTCAGGAACCAACCCCTGCTTGCCCCAAACATCCTGCTGCAGTCTCTCCCCCTCTCTGGACTTGCACAGAACTGAAAAGGGCCTTACTCTAGACTAGGCTTTGGCTTAAGAGAACGCCGTTACTGCTTTCCTTTCCTATCTACGCTGCTCGAAAGTCCCCCTAAAACAGCAGCCTGCTTTTATTTGTTTGTTCAGTGGAGAGCACATTTAACGGTCTTCAAGAACTTTTCCTTTCCATTTACAAGTTGGCTAACTGCCCAATGCCTGGTTTTCAGCAGCCTGGACTTTTGGTACACCTTCCTTATTAACTTTGATTTCTAGGTTTTGATTTAAAGTGAGAGATGTGTAACCCTTCCTTTTTGGTTGGACACTTAGATGCCAGTTATTTTGGCTAAGAAAACAGGGAAGACATGGCAAAGGAGAAAATACAGGCAAACATTCAGTTCACAGTCAGAAAAATAAACATTTCTTAAGTTCAGCATCACACAGGCATGCTCATAGTACCCCAAACCAATTAAATGTTAACATCAATGATCACATAGTACAGATCATGAAAAGAAACAACAATGAAAAAATTTAAACATTGCATTACAAGAACAGGACAGAGAGACACACTGAGTGAGCATATGCTGTCAGCAAAAGGAAACAGGACTGGAAGGTACCCACTTAACAAGCTCAGAATTCCGTAACACTTGCACTCCAGTTCCAAGGCATTGGAGCCCTACTCTGCCCTCTTTACACGCACAAACACAGAAACACAAAATCTGAATTTATCAAAAGAAAAGGAAAGGGGCATTGGGAGACTGTGCAGAGTTGCCACAAATTTTCAGTTCATAGAATATACAATACTGAAGAGGGCGTGGTGACATGTGCCTGTAATCCCGAAACACAGGAGATCTCAAATTAACAAACACAAATTAAAGCACACAATGTCTGCAAAGTAGAGTTACATACATAACTCTACATACATGAGTTATGCTTGTGTGTGAGTTATACATCCTTAATGCTTGATTTATGCTATAGCTTTTCTGTTGTTTTGAGACAGAGAATCACAGAGTCAATGTTGGCCTCAAACATACTATGTAGGGAAAAATGATCTTGAATGACAGTGTATGCCCCTATGACATGTGTGTGCCCCTATGACATGTTTCAGTTTGAGGTTAATCTGCTATCATACACTACAATAACACACACACACCAAAAGACTCTGACTTCTAGTCTGCCTTTGTTAGCTTTATTAAGAGCAAATTCAACTTTTTTGTAATATGGTTCCCTCATTTTTAAAGAGATGATAACTACTGCACGGGTTATGAACCTTAAATGACACATGAAATCTTTCTAGTAAAGTATATAGCATTAAGTGTTCTTAAATACGTTGTGCTAAACTATTGAAGGCTTTGCAATACTTTTAAAAGGTTGTCAGCATAACAAGTTCCAGCATTAATATTATTATTATTCTACCTACAGGAATACTGCTATTTCTTGTATCAGCTCTGTGACATGCTTGGTTATGAGTACACAAATGGGAACAGGTTTTAGGAAAGGAATAAATAAAATATCTAGCAGCTGACCTAAATGTTAAAAAATAAAATATAAAAACTACCTGAGCCAACTATGGGATGACTTTACACACACACACACAGATATACACAGACACACACACACACACACACACACACACACACACACACAGACACACACAGACACACACACACACACACACACACAGACACACTTACCTGGCTGAGAGGATGAAAGAGCGCTCCACACTTTCAATCTTTAATTCATTCTGATATGCTTCTTGGGTGGGTTTTCTGACCTGGAAGAAGGTACACACATCTGTCAAACTTACTGTGCTGCAATCTGACATGTCAATAGTAGCTGAAGTTGCCCAGACCCCTGGAAATCTCCTCACTCAGCTTTCTCTACTGTCCTCTGCCATCTACTCTATGATGTCCCAGATGAATTCAAATACCTGCACTGCACACAGGCCTGACTTCCTCATCTCCAAGCCTTAGGTCACAATATGCACTCGAGGATGCCTTTCCCAGAGTCCTAGTGTGGCAGCCTAGGTCATCCCTAAGCCTCACTGTCTTTCTTCAGAAAGGCTTCCCTGATTCTCTCTCGGGTGGTGGTTTCTGCTTTAGGTTTTATTTGGGAAAGGGTCTCACTATGGCGCACCTGGCATTCCTCAGCTGTCTGTCAAAAGCCGCATACCAACCATATCTATCAAAAGATACGTGCATTTCTTGGCTATGCAGGCTCACACCTGTGATTTCCACACTTAAGAAGCTAAGGCAGGAGATGTCTTGATTTCTAAGTTAGCCTGTACTACAGAGTCGACTCTAGCTCTGTAGGTATGGTTGTTCACATTTATGATTCCAGCACTTGGGAGAGAGAGGGAGGATGACAGGCAACTCAACACCAGCCTCAACTACATAGGCCAGACTGGGCAATAAAATAAGAGCACAACTCCAAACCGAGCCTTTTAAACAGACCCCACACATACACAGAAATACATATATTTGAGATGATAGTCCTACTATGCTGTCTCAGATGATCCTGAGCTCCTGGTCTCAAATGATCCTCCTAGCTCAACGTCTGTGTATGGGAACTAAAGATATATACCACCAACTTGTCTTTGGTTCTAAATTCCAATAATTTACTTATTTGTTTCTGTTATATCTAGGCAGAGTCTCAAGTAGCAGAAGCTAGCCTGAAACTCACCATGTAGCTGAGAAGGACGTGGAGCTCCTACTCCTCTTGACTCCTCCTCCCAAGGGGTGAGAGTGCGTGCTGCCACACTCTCCTTACGCTCCCAAGTGTGTTAGGTGTGCCTGTAGAGTGGTCCTTATTACTGTGTACTCACAGGGGCCATGTCTGCATCACGGCAAAGTCTCAGGGCACAGGGAGGTTTCGGGAGAGGCAGACACAAAATGAATCATCCTTTAATTAATGCATTCTCACGTTTTTTTAACCAAATCAGTTACTGGTTTTGTTTATAGTAGTTCTCAATAACTATTCCTTGAATAAATCAACACAAGGAAGAAGCGCTGACAGGAAGCAGCAGATGCGTGAGTAGCAGCAAACGAACAGAAGCGGGGTGTGAGAAAGACGATTATCTCATGGGTTCCTCTCTGCGCATGTTTGCGTAAGGGAAAATGTAAGATGCACACAGACCTTCATTCCAGCCAGTGAGAGCATGTTGTTCAGTTTGTACATCCCAGACTGCATGGGTGTTGTATACAGCAGGGCATCGTTAAACTGGAAGGAGAAACATAACACAAGGCCACTTACAAAAACCAATTTCAGCAACACAGGGAAATAAAGGGAAAAGGTTACCTGTCAAAAAAAATTCTAAAGCAATGTGCTTCATTTCCAAGTTGTGGTAGAGATTTAATGTTTATGGATTGTAAATCATACTAAAATATTATAATCTGCCTAAATAACTGGTTAAAACAATTCTTCCAAATTTAAAATGAAATTAACTAAATTCCAAAAGGAAAAAAAATTCTGATCAAGCATCATAACAGATCTCATAAGTTGCTACACTTGAAACAAGTGATCTGCCAAAATGCCACCAAGCTGCTGAGTGCACTAGCCTATCTGCTATACATGCCTTCCATTAAGCAACGACCTGGATGTGTGAAATCATACAGGGCCTCTTACCAGGAAAAACATTCGGGGCTGCATGACTTTCCGAGACAGCTTCATCAGAATGCCTTCTTTGAGAAAAACCTAATTCATCCAAGCAAACATTCAGTTAGTCCTACCATTGCCACATAATGACAACACACAAAGAATTTCCTTTCAACATTCTCCCAGAATTGTTTCCTTGTGACTGTTATGGTTGTGGTTCCTTTTTAAGCCCTACAAGTGATTTAGAAATGGGACTAAAAAACAGAAGGTGGGGAGCTGGAGAAATGGTCCAGGGGATAAGATTGGTAAGATTACTAACTGCAGAGCATAGCTCTCAGCAGCCTGTAACTTTAATTCCAGAGATCTGACACCCTCTTCTGACCTCTGAGGGTATTGCAGGCACATGGTGCGTATAACACATGCAGGTAAAACTCTCATATGTATAAAAGTGAACAGGTACATATTTTTTCATAGAAAAACAGGGTGACAAAAAAAAAAGAAAAGAAAAACAGGGTGACAATTTGTTTAGTTGTCAGGGTGCTTGCCTAGCATGCATGAAGCCCTGGGTTTGATTTTTTTTTTTTTTTTTTTTTTTGGTGTTTGGTTTTTCGAGACAGGGTTTCTCGGTATTGTTCTGGAGGCTGTCCTGGAACTCACTCTGTAGACCAGGCTGGCCTCGAACTCACAGAGATCCGCCTGCCTCTGCCTCCCGAGTGCTGGGATTAAAGGCGTGCGCCACCAACGCCCGGCTGGGTTTGATTTTTTAGCATCTCAATAAACCAGGCCTGTGGTGGTGTGCTATCCTCTAAGTCCAGTACTTGGGAGGTGGAGGCAGGAGGGACACAAGTTCAAGGCTAGCCTGGGTTATATGAGACTGTCTCAAAAAGATAAAGAGGCGCCACTGAGATGGCTCAGTGGGTAGAGGTAAGGGATGCAAAGCCTCGTGGCCTGGGTTTGATCCTTGAGACCTACAAGGTAGAAGGAGGGGAGGCTCCCAAGAGATGTCCTTTGACCCCTCTCCCACACATATAAATACAATGTAATTTTCTTCTTAAAAACATAAAAATGGAAAGAAGCCAAAACTTACAAAGAAACGTTAAAAAGAACTCAGACATAGCAATCAGTTTCATAAGCCCTGTATTGGCTCCAGGGGTATTCTGTGGACTGACACATAACTGCCTTCGTGTACTGGGTCTTGAGGCACATCCAGCGACCTTACAATTATATTTTGCAACTTCCTGAATTCATTTCTTAGACTACTTCTATGCTCTATGAGAAGCATCAAAACAGCAATCTCTTTCCCTTCTAGACCTCTCTACAGACTTTAAATGACATTGCTGTCAAAGCTGTGTGAGTTCAGTTGGTATTACAAAATCAAATGATACCATTACCTTACTGGAACCCCGTGGGGTCCTCTGCCTCTCTCCTAATTGAATTGGACTGCCTGTCACTGTGACTTACATCATACTGTTTTGAATGGCTAGAATGATGCATATTAGGTCAGTGAAGAGTAGCATAACTTATTTTCAAAACTAAAATAAAAACAGTTACTGACAGTGCCCAAACACACTGTATTAAACTGTAGAAGGTATTCGAAAGCACGTACCCGCCCAGGTTGCACAATTTCATGGTGTCCACTTAGGCTGTACTGAATCTGCATGAGCTTCTGAAAGTTGTCCTACAGAAAGACAACGGAGAAGACGTGTGACGGCTGTGCTTCCGGGTTCCCCAGCGCACAGTCCTTGGTTTCTAGACTTACCCCTTGCTTCATGGTGTCATTGGCATGGTTGGCTACCTCTATAACAACAGCGAGGGCATCTAAATATTGCAGAAAGAAAGGGCAATTGGTCATCGCCAATGAAGCAATAGATTCCAACATTAAGCAGTTCCAGTTGACGAAAGACCTACTACACAGCAACTAAAGTGTGTTGCCTGTGAGTATCCAGAACTACAGACATTAAGATTCAGTGAGGGGATAACCATGGGAAAACAGGCAAAACAAAACAAGACAAAAGAAAGAAAACCAAGGAGCAACCCTAAGGAGCCACGGATCCTGTGTCAGGTGGCTTGCTGAGATGGGATGACTCTGCAGAAGTTTACAGGGTCGATAACAGGCCTTTATCGAGTAGCTAAGGCCTTGCCTACTAGAAACTGTCTTGGGGAAAATGATTCTGACGAAGAGAGTCGGAGGCTGGAAGTATAGCTCAGTGACATGGCATGTACTTTGCACGCCTAAGGCCCTGGTTCAATTTGAGTACCAAGAAACCAAAACCTCCCAAAATAAAAGCAACCAGAAGAGGGCTGGGGTTCAGACTTCCTCTCTTAGGCTGATTTAAAGGGATCTGAATTAGGAATAAGAAAAATGAGAAGCTCTGGATTTCATCCTCAGTAGAGGAAGAGGGGAAAGGGAAGGATGGAGAGAAGAGAGGAAGGGAGAGAAGAGAGGAAGAGAGAGAAGAGAGGAAGGGAGAGAAGAGAGGGAGGATGAATACCAAACAGAAGCATACCAGACTTTAGCATGGAAACTGCAGGCATCAATTTGTATGCTGAGTTATTTAGTTTCATGGAACAAACTTGGGTTTCTAATTTGTTTTAGCCCTTTGCCTTTCACTGGGCTGGGAGGGGTGTTTAAATGTTCCAGCCACAGCATCTTTATAGCTGGATGATATAAAAGAAAAGCATCTCTGTATCTACTCAGACAGGGCCTTGCCTCAAACCTGCCTCAGCTGGGATAATAATACTGAGATTGTATGTACATACCACCACACCTAGCTAAGTCTATCGTTTGTCTGGGGATGTGGCTGTGTTCCATCCAAGACAGAATGTGTTTCATAAAGGACATGTGCAAAGATAACTTGTTACAGTGACAGGAAGGTCCCACTACGCCTTGTTGGGTAGGCAGCAGAGGAGCTGTCACCGTGCACTCTCACTGACCTAGACAAAGATGCTTACTCTGCACATATCACAGGAACATTCTGAGACAAACAGGAAAAATGCTAAAGGAGAAACCATGCTCTCTCAGAGCTTTATGTAAGTGGTGAGCAATGAAGGAGCTATTTCTCATGTAGCTAAGGCTGGCCTTAAATTCTTGATGTTTTCTTGTTTGCTTTCATTTGTTTATGGAGACAGGGTTTTTCTGTGTAACCCTGGTGGTCCTGGAACTTGCTCTGTAGACCAGATTGGCCTTGAACTCAGAGATCCACCTACCTCCTGAGTCCTGGGATTAAAAGTATACGCTGCCACTGTCCCCTAAATTCTTGATCTTGAATCTGATTCTTGAATGCTGGGATTATGCTTCTGTGTTACCATGCCTGGCTTTGGGTACTCTTATCTAACACCAACCCTGGAGCTTTCCATATTCCTTAAACATGGATTTTCTTCAACATTTCAACTTAAAAACTTTGCGTGTGTATGTGTGATATTCTGGAGATGAACTTTGGGTTTTCATTCATGCTAGACTAGGCCTCTACTTCCGAGCTACACTCCAAACCTGATTTATCACCGTTGTAAAGGAAAGCAGGGTTTCCTTAGAGGGCAATCCCTACCACATGCCAGAACTTATGCCCCTGACACTGTCTTCACAGCACATACTCATGGTTACCCTGGATATGTCTGTCTCTCTGGCTTGCTGCGATGTGCAGTGAGCAGAGTTGAGAACCTTAGGACCGAGTGGATAACTGATAAAGATGCTTCTACTTGGTCAACTGGTCTTCAAGCTCTACAATTCTCCTCTCTGGGTATCATCTCCTTAAGAGATGCTTATGACTCTACCCTTCAGTTTGGCTGTCCATCTTTCAAATATGCATTTGCTTAATCCTCCTCCCCCACACAGCCTAATCCACAGCTGCCCTCCACACCATTTGCTGCTCTGCTTCTGACCACAGTGCATCCCACTGGCCACCGCTTGAGTGCTCTGTGCTTCTTGGGAGGTAGATAATCTCCATGAATCAAGATCCTTCAGTTCAAACTCTACTTGCTTCATCTACAGAATCAGTGACTAATTTCCTTGGCATGGACAGCGGTCTCTTGGGGCTCTGTTTGCCAAGACCACTATAATAACAACAGTATGTGTGTATGTGGTGGGTGTCCTGGGGAATAAACCCAAGCTTTGTGCGTGCTGAGCATGTGTTTAGACTGCTGACCTACAACCTCGAGTCTTGCTGTTTTTTCTTCATGGGACAGACTCTGAGCAATGACTCCTCTCCCTCCTGCCTACAGCTCAAGTGCTACTTTCCCTAAGCCAATCTCCTCTGCCTCTACAACTCTCCTATTTTCCCTAAGCCAATCTCCTCTGCCTCTACAACTGTCCCATTTTCCCTAAGCCAGTCTCCTCTGCCTCTACAACTATCCCATTTTCACTAAGCCAGTCTCCTCTGCCTCTACAACTATCCCATTTTCCCTAAGCCAATCTCCTCTGCCTCTACAACTATCCTATTTTCCTCTTTCCACATGACTATGCATGGCTCAGGGCATCTGTACTCCAAAGCTATTGCCTTTATTGTTTATTTGACGGAGATTATAAACGTCTTCATCAACTGTACTATGTCATCATTGAAGACATAAAATATTGCTTAGGCAACCTCAAAATTTCCTTTTAAAATTAAATGCTTTCTAAAGTCTAACTCTGAGTTGTGGTTGGCATTCAGTGGAAGAGCATTTGCTTAGCACGTGGCCTGAATTCAATTTATGTTATCACAAACAACAACTACATCAAAGAAACTAAGCTGTGAGTACAGGCACAGGCTTATAATGCCAGCATTCAAAAGAGGTCAAAGCCACTCTGCCTCAAAACAAAATAGCAAGACTTGGGTGGGAAATATCTGTAGCCACAACACTTAGGACAGAGAGTTGGGAGGATTAGTAGCTCAAGGTCATCCTTGGCTATACAGCAACATTAAGTCAACCTATACTACAACTAAAACTTGCTTTAAAAACTGATTATGAAGCCGGGTGTTGGTGGCAAACGCCTTTAATCCCAGCACTTGGGAGGCAGGGGCAGATGGATCTCTGTGAGTTCGAAGTCAGCCTGGTCTACAGAGCGAGTTCCAGGACAGGCTCCAAAGCAATGCAGAGAAAGCCTGTCTCAAAAAACCAAAACCAAAACAAACAAACAAACAAACAAATAAACAAACAAAAAGCTGATTATGAGTCAGGCAGTGGTGGCACACACCTTTAATCCCAGCACTCAGGAGGCAGAGGCAGGCGGATCTCTGTGTGTTTGAAGTCAGCCTGGTCTACAGAGTTAGTTCCAGGACAGCCAGGGCTACATAAACAAAACCTATCTCGAAAATCCAAAAAATAAACACCTATTATGAGACAAGGATAATGAATCTCTAAAAATGACTTTGAAACAAGCTCAACTTTTAAAATTTTGTTTTATGTGTATGAGTGGTTTACCTGCAGGTAGGTGTACCGTGTGCGTGCCTGGTGCTTGCAGAGGTCAGATAAAGGCATCAGATCCCCTGGAACTGGAGTTATGGATGGCTATGAGCCAGTGTGTGGGTGTTGGGACCTGAACGCAGGTCCCCTGAAAGAACAAATGTTCTTAACCACTGAAACACATCTCTATCCCCCATGCTCACTCAATTTTTAAACCTGAAGATATATAGAATGTATAAGAATATGATCAAAATTCACAAATTGATGGGGTAGACATGGACTTATTTAATGAATTTCTGAAGAACCAGTGATAAACCTCTGACACCTAGAGGGGGCAATAGGAGAAAAAATAGAAACTCTGACTAGATTTAATCTGAGATGGAGACGCAGAGAGAAAGGGACAGAGAATGAACTTCTTTGTGCTGTGGAGGCCATTTTCCTTACTATAAAGGCCAGGGATGGAGGGGCAGACCTGTAATCCTCAAACGTGGCAAGATCTTGTGTTTGAGGACAACTTGTGGTATGTTATATAATCTGGTCTCCAAAATGTCGGGGGTGGAGGGTGGGGGAGGAGGTGGGAAGGGAGATTGGGGGATAGAGAGGGTGTTGAGATTTAAGAGGGATGGAAAGGTATTAAACCTCTAGCAATAAATGTTCTCAAAATAACAGGCTACTTTAGACTTTATCTTTTTTTTTGTTTTTTGTGTTTTTTTTTTTTTTTTTCGAGACAGGGTTTCTCTGTGGTTTTGGAGGCTGTCCTGGAATTCGCTTGGTAGTCCAGGCTGGTCTCGAACTCACAGAGATCCGCCTGCCTCTGCCTCCCGAGTGCTGGGATCAAAGGCGCGCACCACCAACGCCCGGCTAGACTTTATCCTTTTATGAACTGCTTTGTTTGTCTGCAATCAGGGTGTTAATGTGTAGCCCAGGCTAGCCTTAGACTCTTGGCAATCCTTTCTTAGCTTCCCAAGTTCTGGGACTACACGCGTGGGTCACCATGCCTGGCTTGAACCTTCTTCTCGATTTGCAGTTCAGTCACGTCACGGAAATGATTTTCAAGTGTGAAATGACCTCCCGGATCATCTGTCTCTGGTTCTGAGAGATGGAGAAATGGACCTCGGCAGACTGAATCCCGCAGATCATTCTGAGTGGCTTCCATCACCCGCCTCCAGCGGCGCTCTGCCACTTCCCCCCTTCCAGTTTCATACGAGGGTCTTGTTCTCAGTGTATTTCTCCTTCAGGCCTAACTAAGTAGACACAATACAGAAGCTTTTGTAAACAGAAGGCTGCAAAGGTTAGTTACCTTGGGTGTCCCTGTGATCTACAGAGTCTTCTAGAAGGTTCTTTAAATAGTCTAGAAAAGAACAAAACAGAGTATTTAGAACAATGCCACAGAGACAAAGCCCAAGATCAGGCACATAGAACCAGAACTACAGACTATAAGACAGTGGTTCTCAATCTTCCTGATGCTGCGACCCTTTAATACAGTTCCTCACATTGCAGTGACCCCCAACCACACATTATTTTCATTGCTACTGTTATGAATCATAATGTAAATATCTTTGTTCTCCAATAGTCTTAGGTAAAAAGCATCCTTCAATCCCCAAAGGGATCGCAACCCACAGATTGAGAACCACTGCTATAAGAGGTAAGATAAGAAATCATCAAGCCTTGGAGTACATACCTATAACCTCACCCCTGACCAGAGGCGGGAGGTAGGAGGATCTAATGTTTGAAGCCAACACAGCCTGACTTCCACAGTGTACACTGGCCAAACAAAACAAAACAAATACCATGAAAAGAAAAAACGAAGGTGTAGTGTCACATGACTAAGCTAACCATCTCACCTAAGTCACACATTTTTTTTTGTCCCTGAGCCAAAAATGTAATACAGGTTTCCCAATGTTTATTTAGGAAATTTACTTCATCATACATGAAATACCTTGATCTTTCCTCAAGACATTAATACACTCAAGGTCCAAAAGACAGATTTTTCAATCTAAGAATCTACCAATACTCGGGACACCAAAGTTACTCTAAACCAGCACTTTCTAGCAATGTCTGGAGCCACTTTCCATTGTCTCAGCTAGGGGGGAGGGTGCTGCTGGCATCTGGTGGCTGGAGGTTAGGGATGCAGTTAACATCCTTGATACAGCCTCACAACAGTTAACCCAAATGGCTGAGGCCGAGAAACCCCAGGCTAGATGAAGATGGTATGTAAATAAAGCACAGTGCCTTACAATATGGGAAACGGTTCTATTTGACGGGCCTTTTGGTATTAATCTTTTATACCAAAGTATGGACTTGAGACAACGCTTACTTCTCTGTTGAGAAGTGCTGGATGTCCTTGCCATCCTCCACTTTCTTTCTCTGGAACTCACCATCCCTGCCTGCATGGCCCATCGCTCCCTTTTCTCTTTTTCTTGCGATTATGTAACACAGGCCTCTTCAGTTCAAATATATCCCGTGTATTTGAGGGCCCCATACTTTCTGTCTCTAACTGCTCTTCTCTTGTGGATCCCTTCTTCTATCTCTACATATAAAACCTGACTCGTATGCTTCATTAATGTGTGTGTGCACGTGTGCGTGCATGCGTGCCTCTGTGTGTGGTGCTGGGGATGGAACCAAGGGCCTTGGACGTGCTTAGCTCAGGGTCTATCAATGAACTACATCCCTGGTCTTCAGCTGATAGTTCCCAAGGCCCTTCCTCGGATTCTCCCCTCTTCCCTGCAGAACTTTCCATTTGAAAGCAATGTTTTCTCCTTTGAACAGAGCATGACTAGGCAGTTGTTCACTTTGTCTTCTCTCATCTGCAAGATTCATATTCCATTACCCACTACCACCCAGCAAGTTCTCTAAATAAAGGCTGAAGTCTTTCTAATGCCACTGGAAGTGCAGAAAACAGGAAGATGAAAAGCACTTGGAAAGCCGAATATCAGCCCCAATCTCTGCCAGGCAATACCATGAACAGATAGAATTCCAGCCTGAGGACTCACAAGCCACACTCACAAATATGGAAACTTGGATGTTAGCACTAAGTTTTCCAAAAGTAATAATAACAGATACGCTCAAACTTCATGGAGTTCCTGTCTCTGTGATAACTATCAAGAGCCCTTGGAGTTTAGATATGTGCATAGTAAATATCCAGCATGGATAAATATTTACATGGATATTTACCTACAGGGTGTTGTATATGACCATCGTAAGCTTCCCTGAGGCATGGCGAAGCTTTCATCCCGCCAGGGAAAGGCCCTAGAAACTTACACCTGTATGTAGGAAGGCATGCTTCTGATGAAATATGTTTGAAAAACAAAAACATAAAACCACTGAACTATTGCTTATACACTATGCTTAGTCTCCTCCCAGACATTGAAAAAATGCTTCTTAAGCCAAGTGCTCATGCCTGTAACTCTACCTTGTAGGAGCCTGGAGCAAAGGATCCCCTCGAGCCTAAGGCTAGCCTAGACTACATGGTGAGCTTCAGGCTAGCCTGGGCAACAAAGGGAGGATCTGTCTCAATAAAACAAAACAAGCTATTCTCACCTTGACTCTACTCAGAATTCATTTCATATATAAGCCACATTTGATGACTCTGTCTTTAACAATCTATGGCTAAAAGTGCTAGTATTGAAGCCCTACACAGTGTTCATGCCTGTAATTCCAGCACATAGGAGGCTGATGAATTCAAGGTTAGCCTCCAGTACAGTGAGACACTGTCTCAAAAAATGAACAAAACAAGTGTTAGGGTTTCAAAAAACTTATCCTTCTTAATTTTTTTAACATTTATTTATTTATTTATTTAGTGTGTGTGTGTGTGTGTGTGTGTGTGTGTGTGTGTGTGTGTGTGTGTGTGTGTGTGAGGCACAGGCATGCCACAATGTACAGTATAGGTCGGGGGACAAATTGTAAGGGTGGGTTCTCTCCTTCTACCATGGGGGCAGTAAGCACCTTTGCCCCTGAGTCATCTTGCCAGTTCAAACTTCCCCTTTTAATAGCCATGCCTAACGTCCAGGTGGTTTTCCTTAAGCTTGTAATTAGCAGAAGAGTCTGGGTAGGGAAGCAGATTTACTTGAGTGTCAGACTCTTGGCAAGTTCCTCTATGCAGAAGAACATTTCTGCAAACGGAATCATTTCTTTATCCCAACAAAGCTTCCCGGAAAATATGCATATTAGGAAATCCTGACCTCAGGATCGATCATTTTCCAGAGCTTGGTAAGTGTCTGAGTTGCATTTTTCATTTGTTTGTTTGTTTGGGTTTGGGCTAGTGTTCAAACTAGGCTGCCGGCCCATCAGCCTGAGTTCTTAGGAACAGGGGCCCAATACAGTTGTTACACAGAAAATATACTAAAGATGCTGTTACAACAAGCTATTCTTTCAAGTTATTTATTTTTATTTTATGTACATTGGTGTTTTGTCTGCATGTATGCCTGTGTGAGGGTGTTGGATCTCCAGGAACTGAAGTTACTAACAGTTGTGAGCTGCCATGTGGGTCCTGGGAATTAAACCCAGGTCCTCTGGAAGAGCAGCCAGTGATCTTAACCATTGAGCCATCTCTCCATCCCCACTACCACAAGCAAGAAAGGAATGCAGTTAGGTTACCCTTTTGCCAGTTTTAAAGAAGTGATACTGGTCTCTACAATTCAACTTTGCAACTCATCCGTCCGTCCGTCCATCCATCCATCCATCCGTCCGTCCGTCCTTCCGTGATCCCCTTCAACAGTTATGAATCAGCCATGGTCTTGGCAGCAGCTTGAGGACGATGACTGGTCTGTGTGAGTCAGGCAGCACTGAAGCCATCAGCTGCCATGACTGGCTGAAGCCAGGGTGAAACCAGGGAAGGAGACCAGACACGCAACCTGCACACTCATGGGTATGTTACCACCTCCCATTTAGGACCTGGCCCTGCAGAACTGTTCACAGGAATCATGGGGGCAGTATCATTTCAGCTGCCAGCCAGGATAGACTTGCAACATCGTGAATTCCCCGCCCCTGCCTAAACAAATTAAGAGTTGTAAAAACAAAACAAAACAAAGCAAAAAAAAAAAAAACCTGGCTCAAAATCCAACGAGACTATTGTTGTTATTGCTGTTTTTAAAAATCAAAACAAGGAGTGGTGTGGTGGTGCATGCAGAGGCAGGAGGATTAGGAAATGGAGACAGAGAGGGGCTGGGGAAGAGGGAAAGAAATTAAGAATTACCGGTATATGGACAACACAAAATGTACTCTTGGGCCACCAGGTGGCACCATTGATTAATTAACTCCTGAGCATCTTGTTCCTTTAACATTGGTAATGCAAAAAGAACTGAAACACACCATGTCCAGCCCCCAGGGATATGCAAGTTACCTTTCTACTCAAGTAAGGCCCTAGATGAAAGAACTTAACACTGCATCTTCTGGAAGGCCTACGTTTTCTACACCCACTTCTAGTAAGCCTTACCACTCCTAATCACAACCAACCAACTTCCAACAGAAACTACGAAGAGGTCAACCTTCACTAAATTTCAGTCATTGGTGGGAGTCAGAACTTTCTGCCTTCGGATGACTATGTGCTGAGAGCACACAGGAAATGAACTTCAGAGGAGTATTGTTCCAGAGTAAAGTGTTCCAAATTGGAGGACAAGGCTGGCTGTGTTTGCTCAGGTTTCTTCTTTCCTCCATAAATTCGTAGTCAGTTTAGTAAGACATACAGACCTAGGGGATTCCGAGAAAGGCTATCTACTTACACAGTAAACCTATTTTACAAAGCCTCAAAGTCTGAAACGAGCAACTGAATATTATCCTGACTCTCTCTCCAAAGACCATCTCATTTGGAATATGAAAATAGAGGTCAATAAGTCCAGTTACAGGACTGGTTTCTTCAAGGCAGCTCGGGGGCGAGACAGAGTTCCTTCTACGGAATCAGAGGTTGAAATTTTTACTTCCCTGGAAAACCAAAACTGCTTAAGGCAGATAGCAACAAAATGACTCCTAACGACACTCTGCTACGTGGCCAGATTAGTGTCTTGCTCAGCCATCTTCAGATTCGCTTCCTCCTGAAGGAGATGGGAACTAATATGGAGACCCACAAGTGAGAGGAAGAGACCTCCAGAATACTCAGTCCTGAATGGGATACCTTCAAGCCAGGCGGTGCCTTTAATCCCAACACTTGGGAAGGGGAGAGAGAGACTGGGAGAGAGGGAGAGAGGAAGGGAGGGAAGGCGGGAGGGAGGGAGGGAGAGAGAGACAGAGAAAGACAGAGACAGAGACAGAGACAGAGACAGAGAGAGGCAGAGAGAGAGAAATGCTTCACCAAATGCTTCCCCTCGGAGCTCACAAAGCTGTCAACTGTTGAAGTGGAGAAAGACTGTAAGAGCC